ATACGTTCAACGTCAAGCAGTCGTAAATCTGCTGTTGAATGCTTCAGAGGAAGAGGGAGCAGAAATTTTGAGTTCTAGTGATGTGATCGAAAGGGGATCGGAGGTAATCTTGGAGCAGTTGAACCTAGAGCCTAGGTTAAGTGAAGTCCAAAAGGAGGACCTGAGCAGGATGGTTTCCGAGTTTGAAGACGTGTTTTCGGACCGTCCCGGAAACACGAAGGTGATCGAACACGATATCGAGCTAAATTGTGAGGAGCCAATCCTTAGCAAGCCATATCATTGTTCCCCTGCGCAAAAGCAGATCATGAAAGAGGAGATCAATAAAATGCTGGAGTTGGGAGTCATAGTACCGGGCGAGAGTGACTATGCATTCCTCATAATATTGGTTCAGGTGCCAGGAAAAGATCCGAGGTCATGCATTGATTTTCGGCGTCTTGACGCCATAACTCGAGTCCAAACTTACCCGATACCAAACCTAGAGGAGAGGGTGGAAACTGTGTCACAGTCCAGCTATATTTCCACGTTAGACCTCGTGCGAGGGTATTGGCAAGTGCTCCTTATAGAGCGTGCTAGCCGCTATGCCGCATTTGTTTCTCCCTCTGGAATGTATCGTCCACTTAAGCTGAGCTTTGGATTGAAAAATGCGCACTTTTGTTTTTCAGGCTTAATGGACCGCGTTCTTAAAGGCCTCTCTGAGTTCGCTCTGCCGTATCTTGACGATGTAGCCATCTTAAACAGCTGGGTAGAACATGTCGAGCATTTACGTGTCGTGCTGAATAGGTTAAAAGAGGCTGGTCTTACCGTGAAACCTACTAAATGTCACCTTGGGTGCGGCGAGGTGTCTTACCTGGGGCACGTTGTGGGGCGTGGCCGGCGTAGACCTTCAGAAATTAAGGTAGCCGCCGTCGTGAACTATCCACGACCAACCACAAAATCTGAGATAAGGGAATTCTTGGGTCTGGCTGAATACTATCAGCATTACGTGCAAACTTACTCTAGCACTGCCAGCCCTCTAACTGACGCACTTCGAAAATCCGAGCCGGTTAAAGTGGTAAGAGACTCAGAAAAGGAGAATGCGTTTTGCCAGCTAAAACAGGCCCTAAGCGAAAAGCCCGTTCTGATGGCACCCAATTTCTCTAAGAGATTTGCGATTCAATATGACGCGAGTGATCGCGGCATAGGAGCTGTATTGTGCCAGGAAGACAGGGCTGGTAACTAAAGGCCAGTTTTGTATTTAAGTCGAAAACTCAGCGGCAGGGAAGAGGCATACAGTACCTCTGAAAAGCAATGCGCTTGCCTCGTGTGGGCCGTTCAAAAGCTAGCTTGTTAGGTCTCCAGTTCGAGGTTTGTGGTCGAAACGGACCACCGTCCTCTCACCTGGTTAAATAACATGTTGCCTAAAAGTGGCCGGTTACTGAGGTGGAGCATGATACTCCAACAGCACAACTTTGACGTTCGCTACAAAAACGGAAAGCTAAACGCTCATGCAGACGCATAGAACCGTGCATTTAGCTAGTACCTTCTCCACTTTTCGGTTTCTCGCTGGCGATTCGGGGTCAAATTTCGTCCTCACCCCGGCCTTAGCTTAGCGCTCTTGTCCAGAATGAGCTCATGGAGCCAACTTCATGTTCTATTCTATTTCGTTACGTCGTTGTACGTGTAAAAAAATTGAGTTCTCATTTTAAGAGTCTTGTGTCCCACATGTGCCTCTTGATGTAGAGGGAACGAAATTTCGATAGACACGTAGCTAGATATATGTTGTAATATACTTTGTCTGGTGTTCTGTCGGGTGACCGAGGGCGCTTGCTTGTATGGTGTGTTGTCTGTTGTCGAACCGTTCTTGACAAGTTGCAGAACCATCGACAAGTGCTGAAACCAAAGATCGTCAGAAGAGACGAGCGAAGCTGGTCGACAAGTTGTGGCGACAAGCCAGTGGAGCTGGGATCCATCCTCAAGAATAGGATGTGTTCCCGGAACAGAGTCTGGAGCTGCATTCTCCCCATGGCCCTGGAGGTGAACCTGGAGGGACCTGGCGAACGAGCGCACCTGACATCCGGGCCACGTGTAAGCAGCTCGTCTTTCCGGCGCATTGTCTGGCGGCGGGGGTGCTGTTATGCCTGCAAGTCCACAGCGAACGTCCATGCCTCTGAAAAAGGCAATCTGTGTCAAGGCCAGCCCGCGAGCCCGCTTGACGCGAATAACTCAACGGCGTCATCACGCGGCGGTGCCTCTCTGCCGCGCGCGCACAGTGAGTCACCTCAGCCAGCGAGGCCGTCGAGCAAGCAATCGGTGCATTCCTGTCTGGCGAGTCTGACGCATAGCGTGGCGACGTCACTCGTCCTTGGGTGCAGCCACGTGCAGCGCAGCGGCTTCAGATTCGATAAGAATGACGCGGCCCAGCGGCGACCCCATTGGAGGATCCTGACCTCACGACCAGCGGCGCTTCTGGTTGGACATTTGGTTACTCAAAAAATCCACCAGGTGCATATAAAAGAAACCCTGCGGCGCGTCGCGAGCAGAGACCTATGTGTTAAAGAAGAGAGCTCGGCTCTTCGAGTCTCTAAGTTGTCGGCCTCAGTGGCGAATTTGTAATGCCTCTGTATATATGCTGTACATAAACCTTAATTAACTCACCGTCGTCTCGTCCGCTCGTCTATCAGCTCTGCGCAGAAGCAGTTGCGAGCTGAAAAAGCTATGCTACCAAACGGCTGGTTACCGGATTGGCGGAGATCGGAGCAGTGGTGCCTTCGGGACCGTGTTGGCGTCGCCGTCTTTCGTAACGACCGGTATCATATCCCACTCCATGCCGCGCTCTTTTTGTCACTTGACGCAGTGTTTGACTTTAAGAAACTTCTTCATTATCTTGGGGAAGTCAAATTTTTAACAATAATATTATTATGTCCTAGCCACCAGGCTGCGCCTTGAGTGTGAGGTACCACCTGGTGCAAAAACACAAGTATGTCTGAGCCTTCGCAGTTATTGCTTAGGCAAGGACTTCAGCCTTGACGGTCTGGCACCTTGTCGACTCATATATCGTTAATGCATCTTTCGCGAACAAAATAAAGGTTTTTAACAAAATGACATTCCTTTTAAACGCACTGTGTTTTAAACATTTTATAGATATTTGTTACACATCTTTTAATTTTGGAGTATTAACCTGAAACGAAACAATGCTTGTACTGGCAGTCATTGGCCTTCGGCCCTCGCGCCAATAAAACTTTCTAATAATACTAGTATTCATCCTCTTTGCGGAAGCCTGAAAAAAGCGGGGAGTTCCGTGATAATGAAAAAAATAATTTTTGAAACAGCAGCAGTGGTTTATTGGCCTCTGAGTCGTAAGAGCTAGGGTGAGGAGCCTCGTGAATGGCCACTCAGGTGGCAGCTCAGTGGCCTTATTATTTCATAATGGGCCATGGCCAGGAGCCCAAATTGCGCGCGTTCTGTGGTTGCATCAGCGGCAGCCTGTTTTACCCCAGTATTCACAAACGCTCCTCGACTCGACTTTTACCCTTCACTTGACATAGTTCAGCACTGCGCCGCTGTACACTTGATAATGACACTGCGCTGCTCCAGAATCACACCGCATTATATCTGATATACAGTGACTTGCCTGGCCTAGCGAGGGCGCTTCAATCGGCTTTCTCAAGTGAAGGTGAAGTGTTGAGTGAAGGGGCGTTCTAGAATATGGGGGTTAGAATATGGGAACCTAAGCGAGCTATCTGCCCTGCTAGGCAGTGAGCACATGCTTATTGAGACTGTTAATACAGTCTTCATCGTGCGATTCGCAGCAACCACGCTTCGAGGGCACACTTGGTGCTATAAATCATCTTCGTTTTTTTTTTTTGTAGCAGGAGGGCAATCACTACGCTACCTTTCGTCATTCTTAGGAGAAGCATGCTACCACTGCGAACTTGTAATGACCATTTCACGTGACGCACAAAGTAGCAATCTTATTGCTGCAAATTCGCTCATGATGTCAAAAACTAAATAAATATACAAACGAATAAAGAAAAGAAGTGGCCGTGTTCTGTGGCTTGCTGCCATCTTGTTGAAAATTTTTCGCTGTGCTTGCAGCGGCGGAGTGAGTTTTTTGTCGGGACTCGTCGATATAGGGTCGGGAAATATCTTCGACGTGTTGTTGAGGGCCGTTGTTGCGCAATCTGAAATTGATTAAGATTTGACAGTGTTCTCAAATGACGAAACACGTGTGCTCATCGTTGCCCTTCATAGAGGCGTAAAGGTATAAAAAAGCACAGATCGTTACAATATATGTGAAAAATTCTGCAGTATCTGCCGCAAAGAACACCGGCAAGAAACGTTGCTCACGGCGCTAATCCCATAGCAGTCAATGCGAAACGAAAATGGCATTAGCAGCAGTTGCAAACAGAGCGAAATCAATCATACTTTCACTGCAATCACCGCATATAAAAAAGCTTTTTGGCGTATATGCTCACTTTTTTCATGCCATGGCCGATGACGATGAGCAATTACGTTTGAGGCTGTATAGTAAGTTAGAGGATTTGACGATCAACTCTTTTCACTCTTCGCATTTTGTGACACCTGGTATTTATTTACCTGCCCTAAAACAAATTATTGCTTATATTCACGCGGGTACTCATATCTGTTTTCCCGATGTGAAGCCTACCTAGGGTGAGTTCACAACGTAGTTCCAAGCACCGCTGTGGTTCAGTGGTAGAATACTGAGTAGGAACGCAGGGGACTCGTAATGGAATCTCATTGTGTTTCGTATATATTTGAGGTATTTACTTCTTTCGTGCAATACTGGTTACGGCAAAAGTGGTGGCAGCAGCAACGATGACGGCAGACTGCCCACAATGGACTCTTGCTGTTATCTCTTGTGAGATTTTGTTGTATAAGGCACGCTGTGCTAATACGTATGTATTTATAAGGCACTGAAAAACAGCGTCACTCCTAATTCAAATATTGTTCGCGAGTGAACGTTCACGGAGATATTTTTTTCTATTAAATTTTCTTTCCAGCCATGGCAGAACAACACGTATATCCTCGCATATTGTACGAGCGCTCGACATCAGGTAACTTGGTTCTTAAGCTCAATGAGAAGATAACGCTCAATCTAGAAAAAAGCACAGTCCTCGCTGACAACCTCCTTTTTGTTACAACCAACAAGGACCTTGAGAATGTAGAAATGGTAAGCTGAAAAGTGTTGCCTGTTTGAGAGTTACTTGAATTTAACCTCCAGCATGTTTGTTAAACTTCCAAAAACACGGTCTCCACTCATTTTCAATGTAATAAACAGATGTGTCTAATAACAACCACATGATCAATGAAACGAAACACAGTAGAGTCAAGACTAGCGTATGGGATGATATCTGTTGTTTTTAACTGAAGTGTCATGATTATGACCGAAATTCAAAGTAATCTAACCAGACGAAATATCAAGCTTTTCATAACTGGGATCCAAATTAACAACCTAGGAGTTAAACGTTCATTAGTCTATCAGTTGAGCTACGATAGAGGGAATTGGTAAAACTACAATATTTGGTATTTATGTGCATGTAGTTGCTCAGAATGTTACCCAGCTTCACTCGCACTCCTGTAATTCTGAGGAAGAAGGTGGTATTCACTGAACTAAATTTGATGTTAAAGTAAGTAAACCGATATGATGGTTCTCAATAGAAGCAGCGATATGCCTTCATGCTATTCATGTCTCCACAGCGCACCTTAAAAACATGCAGTGCCATGGAACAAACGGTGTGATTCATAAGTATGCTGATCTTTGCGTCAACTACCCTATAATATTTTGAGCTTTGGGTGAGCCCCCGAGTTTCATAGCTACTGCCCCACTATGGCAGACTCATGAATAAAATTTTTGATTGAATGAAAAGCTTCTGATATCGGCGTTGGCTTCTGTGAAAAAGTTTTCCAATTGTTACGAGTGCCTTCAGTGCAAAATCTTACACCAGTGCTACATGCCCATAAATTCAGATAACCATTATTTGTGAAGCATATGTGCGCAGCAAAATGCTCTGGAGTTCAGTATAACTTGCGCATACTGAATGTCAATTTCGATTCCAAAAGGTGTGATCTAGGTTTTCTACACTGAGAGTAACATTGACTTTCACAGTTGCTGAACACAACGGCATCCACGTTTATTGCATCAGGAAAACAGCATCCTACGGGCATACAATCAAGAAACGCGAACGAACTTCATGGCTTGTCAGTAATATTACCTCAATAAAATAAAACAGGTGCTCGCGTTTTTCGTAGAAAACGATCGGTAGATCCCATACACCTGAAAATTGACGTTATGCGAACCATGCGGAGGGATGGTTACCATGTTAATTTTTTTGATTGATCGTAACGTCATAAAATGACGCTAATATATGTACAATTGTTGCATGTACTGACATATGTTGCAGAGCTGGAATTGCTCATTAAACAGCAGTTTGCACTTGAAAAATGATGCCGACTATAACATGCGTATTCCCAACACAAGAAGCTGATATGTAGCACTGATCCTCGCGAAGATGCTGCTCCTCGACACTGCTACCTAGATCAACTTGCAGCGCATGGCATCTAACTACACATCACGCTAACCCGACGGTGACGGCTGTATCAAAGGAGCACTTATGTAATGTTCACAAAATTGGGTAGGCAGCACCGCAACCACTCTTCACGTTTCACGAAGATTAGCGTCTATTTAAAAAGTAGTTCCGAGACCTGGCGTAGCTATGTCGTAGAATGCTTCGTTTCCACGCGGAATTCTCTGGTTTTGTTCTAGCTGGAACCTTGACATTTATTCTATGCCTTCTTTAGGTCTAAGCTACCGATGTTGAGTATTCTTTAACGCTCACACGTAAAAACTGCCCATGTGTGTTCTCGTCAATCTTGGGTAGTTACTAGGTGGTAATCACCTGTGGCACATAGCAACAACACATACCCACCCGTGGGTATGTGCCGATGTCTTGCGGGAAGTGTTTGACAACGTACGCCATGGGACTGTGATATTATTCATGTCTTGACCAGCGCGTCCTATTCGTCAAACCATCCTACTCTCCCATGCTAATTTTGGTTCACACCACGAGAGTGCCACCCAAACGTAAGCAGATAGATAGATAGATAGATAGATAGATAGATAGATAGATAGATAGATAGATAGATAGATAGATAGATAGATAGATACATAGATAGATAGATAGATAGATAGATAGATAGATAGATAGATAGATAGATAGATAGATAGATAGATAGATAGATAGATAGATAGATGCTTCGCATTTGAAATCAACATAACTTGCTGTTACTCAGCTGCGGCCGGTCCCTTGTTCACCGTGAGGAGCTGCAAGATGATGTGACTACGAATGTGATGGGTAGCACAGAGTGTCAATTTATAGCTCGTGGGGGTTGCCCCACGTCCGCGTATTTGCATTTTAGTCGTTTGAATTTTCAGAGGTTCTAAGCGTGTTTGTGTCGATAGGTGATTTCGTGCCGCAAGTATGCTGCTCGAAGAATCTCTGCCGATGATGTTGTTACTGCTGAAATATCTCTTACCCTCAGTTGCTTTCGCATTGGTTCAGCTGATTTATTAGACCTACTTTGTTGCTTCAATACGTGGGCGTGAAGACAAGTATGAATGTGATGGTACTAGCTAGGCCCATTTGTGTGGGTTTAGACTCTAATGCATAGCCACAAGTAAATTAAGATTCGTACCACTCTAGTAATCTTTTTGATGCTTTTTGAGGGCTGCTTACAGTTCACTCATCTAGACTGCTGTTATTCACTGGTATAAGTTATTGTCTGTCAAATAGAGGGACTGAGCTGCAAACCTAGAGCAGAGAAAAATGATAGGAAAAAAATAGAGCTTTGCTGAAAGGAATATGCTACTGTGTTTCGTGTGGTGAACATTGCGTGCAGTTACAAAGGTAAAACCCATAGCACTATTTGTAGAGGTGCAACATTGATGATACCGTTTACGAGAAAAACTTCCTCTGCAATCTAAATTCTTCAAATTATAGCCTAAACAATATTGTTATTTATAGAGACCGAGGGTAAGAGAATAGAAGAAAGATTCATATTTGAGTACTTGTTGATCAAGAGTGTATCATTACCGAAGTGTAACTGACAAACATCCGCACCAAAGCTACGATTTACAGTAAGGATGTGATTTGCGCCTGTTGACTTTCCATATAAGTGTACAAAGTCGTGCCACTCAGACACAGACAGGAGAGACAGCACTCAGCACAGGAAGTGTTTGCTTACAATAAACTTAGTTAAAAATTTTGGTGACCTTTCAAGCAACTAAAATTCTGTATAGACCGCCATACACGTTACGTTATATACAAAATAATTTTCCTCTTAGCTATTATATCGCAGTGTTGAAACATGAACATCCCCCCACAATCTCTGCAGGAGATTGCCAACCAGCCATTTCTTTTAAAAATAAGAAATCTGTACCATGCTCCCATAGCCTGACGTTCTTACTATGTGGTGATTGTTTCATGTAAAAATAATTGCGTCATAACGGTATGCTCTGAACTGTTCCGTCTTAAAACAATATTTATTTGGTGTGAGGCCGATGTCCGCAATCGGTGGGCCTTAACGTGTCTCTATTCTCTTCGTGACGCAGTCGTGCATCTTTATATATTGGCCGCGAATGGTGGCTGCTGAAGTAATAAATACAATGATCACTGCTTATGGTGATTTTTTGCTACAGATAGACACGTCTCATATCCAACGGACTCTATTTTATGACACACATTACCAGTCATCTCTGATTGTACGGCAGAGAGACGACAACGTTGAAGTCGTAAGTTACTTTGATAAAGCCACCACATCCTGTTTAGTGGATATAACAGAAAAGTGATTTGAAATAGTAGCACGCAAGGTTTTGTTATTTCATGACATTAGTGCAATATGATCACTCCATCTTGCAATTATTTGCTAAAAATAATAAAAATGTTTCGCTAAGATCTTCTGCAGGTATTAAGAAAAAAAGCAAATGTACTTGACCGGCCGTATACAAGTTTTGGTTGTCTTGCATCAAATGACGACTCTGTATGTGTATGAAGAACTCTTATAACGCCCTCCTCATAGTTTTAACTCACAACTCCAACTCAGCGAACCATTTCTGAACTAGGGTTACACGGGGTAAGACTAAAAAGTTTGCTCAACCCGCATCACTTCAATTCAACCTTAACAAAACATAAATCATTCTTAATCACCAAAAATTCAGATGCGTGGCTAAATCTTAGTCTCATTGAGTCGGGCTTCAGTGACTGATGAGCGTTTTGGCGTACAAAGTATGTGTCAAAGAAAATGTACAAAAAGCTGTAAGAACTTTACCGTCAGTATAGATGCTTATGCCGCAATGAGAGAACGTAGATACACACCTACGTGAGTAATTGGAGTTTTCGCTGTGGCGCGGAGCATGCGAGGGTGTCCGCATGCTCTGAAGAGACCACAAGGTCGTTATAAGATAGCACCATGCAATTTATGCAACAATGTGGTGTTCACATCGCGATACTCCACGATAGCGGAGAAGTGAGCTGCTATCCGGTTTCCGGCAGCGGAAATTTCTCAGCCAGTCACTATTCTACGTCAGCGATTTTGATGTGTTCTGTCTCCTTAAAATTATTGCAAAGGGAAGCACTTCAGCTCTCAGAACAAAATTAGGGACATTGTGAAGGACGTGTTCTTGCCACGGTCACAACAGGCCCATGAATAAAGAAGGCTTCGGGTAGTTAATCAATAGCATTGTTTTCAATGGTCACTTGATATATACTCTGAGCACAGTCACCACTTATACCCACAATGTCACTTTGCACCTTTTTATTCGAACGCCCCTTGTATAAAAAGCATTATAGATACTTCAACCGCAAACTATCACCGGGACAAAATCAGAGGGACGACACCGCAGTGCTGTTTCAGTATCTATGTCTCTCGTACTTATTAGATATACTACGCTTTTGCGATCACAGACATGGACTTAAAGACCTTCAACCCTATTATCTAAGATCTCTGATCTGAGATCCCCAAATTGATCTCCCCCGATAGGGCGTCTGCGCAACCACGCATTTGGTGTGTAGCTACACCAAGGACCTGAGCTAACGGGGGATTTCTACATCTCTAATGTCTAGCTGTGCGTGGCTGAGCCTTGTTCGGGGAAGAAAGAATTCCGGGGGTTGAACCAACGCTAGATGATTGGACCTCTAAGGCTCCCCGGCAGAAGCAACACACCCCTTTGGCCTCGGCTCCGCCCAGACGGCACCCCTGGGCAGAGCCACCCAGGGGAAATCGGCAGTCACCTTTTCCTGTCTCGCTCTTCTCTCATCTTCTTCTTTCTGTCACACTTTTTATCTGTCCTGTCGTCTTCTTTCTATCATTTACTTCCGAATTTCCCGTGGAAAAGGTTAATCTTGTGTTGGTATTCAACCTTGGATAGATACATAGGGCTATTGCGGCGATGCATAGCTGGCATCAAGAGCTTATTAATCAACCTTGTAGCGTTCCCTTGTGGGGCTTGGTGGTGGGTGGCCACCATCGCCGCTGAAATGAATACTCTTCGTATGGCAAATGCCTTTCCCTACTTTCCTAATCGCTTCCTCAAAAGGTGGCGCACCGAGGAAGCAATCAACCTAACAAACCAAAGCAATGCTTCTCAAGGTATCATGTCATTCATAGTCAAAACGAAAAAAAGGAAGCCAGATTGATTTCACCGTTCCCAGTGGCAAAAACTGTAACGGAAGAAATTGGCCCAGGGTGTCATATCACAAAAATGGGAAGTGGTTACCTCCTATTGCAGGTTCGAGACAAAGCACAATACGACAAACTATTCAGAATGGCATCATTCGGAGACATTCCTGTTTCAGTGGGCCCAAACAGGCCTATGAACAAAGTCCGTGGGTAATTTCTGGTGATTCTGTTATCAATCTGAGCGACAGCTAACTGCTAAAAGGATGGCAAAATGAAAACCCTGTAAAGGTACAGAGAAGAATGATCAGGCATGACAACAAACAGACCCCTACAAAAAACACATATTAACTATCTTAGGGACCAGCGACCTACTGGATTCAATAGAAACCGGCTATTCCAAGCTCCGTGTAAGACCATAAATCCCCAGCCCTCGTCGATGTTTCAAGTGTCAACGTTTCGGGCATGGATCGCAGAGTTGCAGAGAAAGCGCCACTTGCGCAAGGTGTGCATCCACTTAACACATAACTGACAACTGCACCTAAGAAGCAAGTCGTTGTTTATACTGTGAAGGAAATCACCCTGCCTACTCCCGACCAAGCCGCACATGGAAGATAGAGAAACAGATTTAGAGCTCAAGCTCAAATCAATCTGTCATTCAAAGAGGCACGTAAACGTTGTGCGCTGCACAACCCCTCTTATCCTTTCTTCACATATGTGACGCACCGGGGCGCCGTGCCACATGTTTCTGCACCCGCGAATGTCACACAGAGTGTGGTTTCGGTCGTTCAATCATCGCCCCCGATCGGAGCACGCTGTACTGCTCCACCAACTGACAAACAGTGCTGGCAGACTCCCGTGTCTGCTAGACTCCAGATCACTGCAAGTGCAGTTAGGTCCCAAAGTTCTGTGCACATACCGGCCGAGCCTGCACCTTCCAGCACCTCACAAGGGACGATGGGTAGAAGTCCTACTTCTCCGGGGACTCAAACGCTGAACGATAGGCGCAACTGTTTAGAGAGCACCAAAAAACAGAAACTTCGTAATACAGGGTCCCAAAAGGCCCTGTAACCTGAGTCAACAATTTTGTGCACAGCACCACACAACTTTAAAATGACACAACTACTACAGTTGACCCTCAAAGAACTGTTAAAGAACCTCAACGATATCTAGAAACTTTTGCACAAACGTACCCTAAATATTTTGTGTGTGCAAGAAACACACTTCAAATCGAAACACACGAACTTCTTACACAGTTACATTATTTTTTGAAAAGACCGAGATGATGCGGTCCTGCCGTTTGGTGCTGTTGCCATTATGGTTAATAAAGGAACAACCTGGACATATTTATTGCTTCAAACATCTCTTGAGGCAAAGGCTGTTCAAGCTGTTATATTTAACGAACTAATGACGCTTTGTTATAAACTACGTACCTCCACCTTGCCAACTCAATAAGTATGAATTCCAGGCTCTAAGTGAAGAACTTCCAGAGCCGTATCTTCTACTTGGAGACTTCAACGCGCATAACAGTTTATGTGGAGACTCGCGGTGTGATGCGTGAGGTCGTCTAATTGACCATTTTTTTCTCTTCTGGCGCAAGTCTCTTGAATCATGAAGCTTTAACATATTACAATATCACAAACACATTCTCGTCAATAGACTTTAGCATTTTATCTCCGTCGCTTGTTGCACTCCTCAAATGGAAAGTCATGACTAATCTATATAGAAGTGATCGTTTCCCTATAGTCATCAGCGCTACAATTGGAAGTGAGTGTCCTCCGCATTTTCCAAGTGGCTGATCCAAAAAGCTGACTGGGAGCAGTTTCAAAAAGTTACTGTCTTAACCTGTAAGTAGATGACTGCGTTAAGCATTGAGGCAGCTGTGGAGTACTTCACTGCTTTTTCGGTCGACGCTGCAACCAAATATATTTCACAAACGAGTGGACTGTCAGGCAACCGACGTGTCCCATGACAGAACGAAGAGTATCTTAATGCGCGGAAAAAAATGAGGCATGGAAGTTGTTTCGAAACCCGCCGACGTCTGAGACTATTATAAACTTTGAGAACGTTATGTCCAATGGCAGGAGAACGTGCCTACAAGCTAGAAGAGAAAGTTAGCATACGTATTTATCAGCCATCACCCTATGTATACAAAACGGTAAAGCATAGAACAGTAAGAGAAGAGTAGAAGGAAAAAAAGCATATCCACTCTCTCTAGTGAACGCACAAAGCGACAGCTTGAAGACCAGGCAAGCCACCCGGGCACACACTTCCAGCAGGTTTCCAGCTCATCACACTACTCTTCAGAGTGCCAACTCTACAAGAAAAGAGTGCAGAAACAAACTCCACGCGAAATGTACTGAATACGAGGCATATAATCAGCCATACTGCTTGGCGGCGCTACAGGCATCTCTTGATAGCTGCAGCCATTCCGCCCCAAATTCTCACCGTGTAATTAATGGAATGCTGAAAAACCTACTTCTAAAAACTCAAAAAATAACACTTCCCCTGTAGAATGCAATCTGGTTTTCTGTCGTCATCCCTCACTCTTGGAAAGGAGCCATCGTCGTTCCCATATTGAAACAGGGCAAAAATCCGTCGTCGGTTACGAGTTACAGGCCCATTGCAATAACCAGTTGCCTTTGTAAACTATTTTAAAGGAGGATAAATTGCCAGCTATTGCACTTCCTCGAAACAAAAAGGCTACTTGACCTGTGCCAGGGTGGTTTTTGAAAATAATATGTCCACTTATGACCACCTGGTACGTATTGAGGCACCGTTCTGAGACGTTTTCATTCACAAACAATTACTTCTCTCTTTGTTCCTAGATATCAAAAAGGCTTATCACACGACTTGGCACATTGATAAACTTCGAGTCCTCTCAGATTTCGGTATACGAGGTAGAATGCTGCGTACAATTGAAATTGATCCCTCCAGTCAGACGCTCCCTGTACGAGTGGGCACATCCTCGTCCCGAACATTTGTCCAGGAGACATGGGTGCCCCAGGGTGGTGTACTAAGCTATACCCTTTTTTATTATAAAAATGAATTTGTTGCGCCATTGACTTTCTAGCAATATGCTTCACTGCACTTATGTAGATGATGTCCAGTTAGTCT